ATTCATGAGGAGACAATACAGAAAGCATTCATATGCGAGAATAATCCTTAATTTGCAGTCTCACCACAACTACAGAATGAAGATCGGAGCACTGATAAGTTTGATCATCAGAGGCTTACGACTAACGGACAATGAGTTCTGGGACGAGGAGTTGGACAAACTGACACGGATTTACCTTAGTAATGGGTGACCCATAGAGTTTATAGAAAAAAATGTTGGGCTTATTAAGGGTAGATTTAAACTCGGATTTTATGAAAATCAGATCAGGAATCAGGAGGACGACCAGAAGTGGATTTGCCTGTCCTTATCAGAACTTAGTCAAAAATTGCGACCGTTACTAAGGAAATGGAATATCAAGGTGATAAAAAAGGAGAAGAAAACACTTTTCACGAGACTGCCAACGCAACACGAAAGGACGGACAAACTTGATTGCTCGGGACTTTATCGCATCAAATGTGGCAACTGTGAGCATAAGTATATAGGTGAAACAGGAAGAAAAATCAGTCTACGAATCAAGGAACATCAAAGACTCTGCAGGAACATGAATACGAAAAGATCTAAAATAGCAGAACACATCGCACGAACGGGGCACGAAATCGACTGGAAATCGACCGAAAGTTTGGCTGCATGTGGTGTAAATACGAGAAAACGCAAGATCCGATAGGCCCCCGATATACTGACCGAGAGAAATCTAATGAACAGGAGACCTGAAGAAGGCAGGATCAGCGAAAACTTTGTATATTGCCTAAACAAACTTGGAGAAGACCAGGCAACAGTAAGATCAGCAAAAAAGAAGATGACTGGATCAAGGTAATATCCTTAATCTTATGAAAAGAGATCCGAGGGGGACAATAAAGGAACAATCAGAATGCTAAAGGAGATGTCTTCATTGAGCCTAATCAAAACAAGTAGAATAACAATAATTGTGGGTTGGAACAGAAGAGACTAGGACATAGGAAGACATGGTATTACATATAGAAACAGGAAAGACGCGGTGGAGACTAGAGCTACTTGGTTAACAATAGACTTGTTTGATCATAGACATGATCCTCGAATCACGACTATTGTTAGCCAACTAGCTCTAGCTTCCACTGCTTCTATCCTCTTTCTATCTATAATACCAGGTGTGTGCCAACCCACAAACGTTGTGGTTCAACATTGAACCTAATTAAATCAAGCTGTACCACAACATTTATGGGTTGGCACACAAGAGACTATGGCATATCAAGTCATAGACTTGGCATTTCGAAAAGAAACAGGATAGATGCGGCGGAGGCTAGATCTAGTTGGCTGACGGTAGGCCATAGACGTGATCCATGTAGAAAAGGCTTGACTGTGAGAATAACTCAGGGACTTTAGCTTCGAATTATTCATCCAGACGCAGGTGAGGGGTGATAACGCGTTGAGTAGAACAGATGGGGTGCCAGGGGTCGAGTGAAATACTTGAACCAGGGAGATAGCAGACGGATTCTACGGGGAGAGAGGGAGACTCTGATGAGACCTATGGAAGGAGGACTGCGTAACAATATGGCAGACTTTGATCCACATTTCCAGCACAAGGGTGAAGGGGGTGAGAAAGCCAGCGTGGAGTGTGGAGGCTTTCTTAAAATCAGCCCAAAAGGGCACCCCACTCTACATTTAAATAGCCAAGGAAAAAAGTGTGATAATGAATTCGCCTTACGTTGATATAGTAAAGGTGAATAGCCCAGGACAGGAGAGATTCCACTACTGTCTTGCACACATTTCGTCGAAGGATCGGCTTCAATTGTCTCTGATGATTTGTAGTATGGTGCTAAGAATGGTAAGACTCACTGACGATGCCGACTTCGATGTCAACCTCGATGCTGACTACGATGCCGGCGAAACGTCTGGGAATGTAACACATCCACTGTCTGACTTTGAAAATTATCATGCATTTAATGGAAGCCGGACTAGTTGCCTTTCTCTAAGTCTTCCTACCAATATGACCAAGTTGCGAAAACAATTTCAAACAACTTCTAGTCAACGAAGGGAGACTACGACCAGACAAAAAGGCCACGCCATCTTGGTCCTCATATCTTCTTTTAAATGTCCATCGAAACAATCATATGCTAGGAAGTTGTGGTTATAATGAGAAATAATTGCAAGATATCTGATCCTTGCCCTAACTAAAGACGGACCCTTCGTTATTACTGTCAGCCTTTTCTCAAATTCCACTTATATGCTTATATTTCTTTGTTACCGTTCTACCTTAATGCCTTTTTAAATAATCCCGTTATGGCATTTCTCCCCTGAACCACGGGTACTTTATTTCCTTTTCTGTGTCTGGTTTCATTGTTACATCGTTGTATGCCTATGCTTTTTGTGGATTTGAATGTGTTCAGCTGACGACAGGAAAAAGCGAGCCACCCATCATGTGGCTATCCGGTCTACATCACCCACGCGCCTACTTAACCGCTTTGATACAAAAGGCTTGTCGAAAGAATGGCTGGTCTCTTGACAAGTGCACTTTACATACTAGCGTAACACAAGTGGCGCCAGACGAGCTTCACACCATTCTGATGGCACCAGAGTTGGGTTGCAATATTTCCGGCCTATTTCTTGAAGGTTCAGCCTGGGATATTGAAGTAAGTCGATATAATTGAGATGAACGTAGACATGGAAGTGCGTCTGTCACAGTATCCATAATTAATAGTAATTCACAACGCCTTGCCTCCTTTTTCCTTCTTTATAGTCTTAAACTAAAACATGCCACTATATTTGACTGAATTGCATCCTGCTTAAGTCCAGACTTTACAACTTTGATGCAGGATTTATTTTGTTCGTCGTCTCTATTCCCTGCATAGAGCTTGACCTCCCAGGAAAATTTCGTAAAACCCAACCAATTTGGAGTCAGCCATCGCTTTTCTTTCTTCTTAGAGAAGCTGATCACTTACTTTGTACATTCTCAGAATTTTTAGCCGGCATCATCCTTAACTGAGGCCTCTTTAGAACCGAGCTATAATTCGTTTAATTGACAAGCAAAGTTACTAAACTTCTCTTTCAAAGTTGGATCATTTCACTACTCTCGCCCTTATGTCCACTGCATTTCCTTACTCTAAGTACTCTATCCTCGTTATTTACTTCAGCTTCGAACGGCTAGGCCATTTTTCTACTCTAACTTGTCCTTTAGATTGTTACGATAAATTGTATGCGTGCATCGCTTTAAGTAGGTTTACCGCAGCCTGTTTATCTTCCTCGCCTTTCTCCTATCTCCTCAGTTTGACCTCGTGAACCGGATTAATTGCTCCACTCGGCACTCCTTTTTATATAACTTTGTATCTTCGAAACCCAGCTTCTCTTCATAATATGTCATGTCTAGCAAAATAGCTGCATCCATTCTAGCTCTCATATTCGACCGAGTATTTACGTGACTGACCTCAAATGTATGTTAACCTGAATTTCTGAAGATTTCGGCTACTTCCCTGATCTTCCGAAAAACTGGAAGGCTACTGAAAGATTAGCCCAGTACGAGAACAATACAAGAAAGAGTAATATCGGGTAAACCGTTGACATCCCTATTTAAGGGGCCAAATGAACAAAAAATTGGGAGGTGGATGGACAGGGACACTTTTACTTAAGTTTAGGCTAACTTGGAAAAAGTAGAGAATTTAAAAAAGTTGGCGAAAATAAGACGTTTTGGTCAAGGACACAATTTAGACAATATACTTCATAGACAGGTCAGTCCCAGAGTACCTTAGATGGTGCGGTAGGAAAGGGGAGAGGATAGTTAGGTAGTTGTAACTCTAAAGCCGTTGTGCTGGTTATAAAAAGGATTCCACTACGAGGAACATGATTTAGAAGGTATCCTCATTACACCTACGTCAATGCATACCAAATCGGTCATGTGTAGGAAATCGCCGATAGGAAATAGGAAATGTTGGAGTAGCTATCATTTCGTTTGAATAGGTGAGTGGAAGCGATTCGTAAGACGGCCTCACCTGAAGCTGTAGGAGGGTTGCCTCAAGTTTTAATTGTAGACTCGTGCGAAATGGACCTCGGTATATCGCCATGCTTTGAGAATTATCGCAAAGCTTGATGTCTTTCTCGGATTATGTCCGTCACATGAGTGACGAAAGCTCAGCACGGATTCAGCGGGGTCGCATGACGGTGCTTGAGAACCTTTCGCACGAATCTACAATTAAAGCTTCAAAGCTATTACCCTACAGCTTCAGGTGAGGCCAACTCGCCGCTTCAAACGAAGTCAAATATATTTTAATACAAATTTTTTAAAGGATTCTTCGTGAACCAGTTTTTCTCAATATTATCCTTTCTCTACGTCGCGAATTGTTGATCAAATGATAGTAAACTTAGCAACTTCTTATTCAACAGAAATATTTTTTAGAAGTTGTCTGACCTTGTTTTCGCAACTTGGTCATACTAGCAGGAAGACCTAGAAGAACAGAACTTGTCCGCAGTCCATAGTATGCATGATAATTTCCAGTCGGACCGTGGATTTAATACATTACCAGGAGTTTTGTCGGCATCTTGAGTGAGCCCTGCCAGTCTTAGCAACACACTACAACTCGTGAAAGAGACAAGTGAGGACAATCCTTTGCTCATTTGTCTGCTAAATAGTTGTGATATCCTGGGCTATTCACCTATCCCATATCCTCGTATCACACCTTCAATATTACTATTTTACTTGTTTATCTAAACCTATTTGTAACCTATTCACAATACCCGCTGGTTTCCACATCTTTCCCAGGGTGCGGGGAGTTTTGATCCAAGGCTGGGGTTTAATCCGCAATCCTCTCCCTTTGGATCCAATCAGAGTCCTCGCTTGCTCCCTAGAATCCCTTATCTGACTGCTTCAATGATTTCACGCCATTGGTGCCACCGTATCCGTGCTACTCAAGGCGTTATGTCTGCCTGAAGCCTTTGCTATCACGTATACACCAGCCTCACTAAACAAGCGCCCAAAGTCTGTATTCTCAATTGGCATGGCAAACTAACTTGACGCTGCAGATTCCCTTATCACTGTGCCGCATGTCCACCGAATAAATCTCATCGTCAAGCCTTTAGTTCATGGGCCATGTATTTGAGCAAACCTAATTACTAATAGCCAACTAGAAATGGCCACCACCGTTTCTCTCACTTTTCTACGACATTATATTGTGTACCGATTCCAAAATGTTATGGTTCTACTTGATTTGAATAGTCTCACTGTAGACGTCTTCTCTTGGTTTCAGGTTGTTCCTCTCTGGTATCCTTGTCATTTCTTTCCCTAAAATTAAAAGTATTACTAGAAGATATGAAGACCAAGATTGTGTGCCTTTTTGTATTGTCGCAATCTCCTTGCGTTGTACAGGAGTTAGTTGACCTTGTTTTCGCAATTTGTTCATATTGGACTTGGAGAAACGCACTTAGTCTGGAGTCCATTGTATGCATGCTAATTTCCAAAGTGGGACCGTGGGCGTGGTACATTCTCAGACATTTCGCCGGCATCGTCAGTGAGTCTTGCCACTCTTAGCAACATATAACAACTCGTCAGAGACAAGTAAGGCCGATCCTTTGATCAAATGTGTTCTAAACAGTTGTCCTGGGCTACTCACCTCTTCTATATTCTCGTATCACGCCTTCACTATCACAATTTTTCCTTACTTATTTAAATCTAGTGTGGTGTGCCCTTTTAAGCGGCTTTCATAAGAACCCTCCACACTCCACGCTGGCGTTCTCACCCCACATTATCATTGTGCTGGGAATGTGGATCAGAGTCTGCCATATTGTTTCACAGTCCTCCTTCCTTAGGTCTTACCAAAGTCTCCATCTTGCCCCGTAGAATCCATCTGCTATCTCCCTAGTTCGAGTATTTCACTCGACCCCTGCCACCCTATCTGTGCTATTCGAGGCGTTATTAGCCATTCCCTGCGTCTGGGTGACTAATTCAAGGCTAAACCCTCAGTAAGTCTCATTGTCAAGTCTTTTCTTAGGTTCAACATTGGACCTAATCAAAGCAAGTAGTACCACAACATTTGTGTGTTGGCACACAAGAGACTAGGGCAGTGATTCCCAAACTGTGCGCCGCGGCACCCCGGGTAGCCGCGGCACCCCGGGTAGCCGCGGCCTCTTTACAGGGGCGCCGCGAAATGTTGTAAAAGCGTTAACTTGAGAAAATGTGCAGTGATTTGCTGGCTAATAAAGTAAAAAAATAATGAAAATACACAAGCTTTATTTATTTTTATCTCTTACTTAGGAATAGTCATACTTAGGATAGGGCGCAATGGGAAAATTTTAATTGAAAAAAGGCGCTGCGACTAGGAAAAGTTTGGAGACCACTGGACTATGGCATAGACTTGCTATTAGGGGTAGAAACAGGATAAACGCGGCGGAGACGAGAGCTATTTGGCTGACAGTAGGCCTGCTTTACCATATACGTGGTCCATTACGCAAAGGCTTGACCATGAGACTTACTCAAAGGCTTTAGCCTCGAATTAGTCACCTAGACTCAGGGGGTGGGTCATAACGCCTCGATTTGCGCAGATGGAGTGGCAGGGGCAGCAGACAGATCCTGCGG